TACACTGCATTGGCGTGTGTGTTGATGTCCATCGCTGCGACAACAGTACCTGGCAATGCAGCGGCTGATAAAGCGAGGTTAGTTTGAAATATTGATTCAAATAAAATCAAGTGCGAAACTTACAAGTGAAAGCAAAATGCATACCGCCTATGCCGCTAAAAAGCTCTAACACACGAAATTCCATTTTTTTAATTTGTTTCCATATCCATAAATCGCTAATTTTTCGCTGGTGGGTCAGATTAGAGCTGGGTAGCGCAGTGGGGCATTGCGCCATTGCGCTGATACCGAGGGTGGTGCTGCTGGCGCTGATACACTAATTGGCAAAACGGTGGTGCATATAGAGAAGCGCATTTTTATATAGCCCAGATGCAAAAGAGGCAATGTAAATGGATTTTTTGTCTTGTTAGACAAAGAACGTAAATGTATCTTTGTTCTTTGGTATAAAGTAAACATTTTCAATAAAAACCCGCGACTTTATTCTATTATTTTCATCATCTGGCAGCACCAAGATCCAGAGAACGTAAATTTATGAGGCATTCACAGTTTTCAGTCCTTCTCTATAAATTTACGTTCTCTGATCACAAAGAAGTAATTCAAACAAGCGCGAAACAAATTGCCTATTTTGATTTGCTCATTTGATATACTTTTCAACAAAAATAAGCAATAGAATGCAAGCCATAATTTTAACAGATACGGAAGCGGAGACTACCGTGGAGCTAGAGGAATCTATGGTCAATCAAGCCTCACATGGCACAACAAACGCAACCAAGAGCATTTTCCACTTAACTTTGGACGATGGTATGTATGCATGTTTAATCTTTGATTGGGTACTAGGCATATCACATTTTTGTTGGTTTATATTAGGCCTGGACGATCATGAAAGTCTCGACATCAAAAGGTATGTACGTGGTATTTCCTACAGACATTGGAATATATTTAATACTCCGTTTTGGTGTTAGCCACGAAGCCCGTCTTAAGGAAGAGATTAAACAATGGAGTACCCTTTGGCGTGATTCAATGAAACAATTAAAAGCTTTTAAACTTAAGCCTCATCCAGTCATCGATACTACGATTTTGTCAGCTGAAAAGCGTGCTTATTTAGAAAAGGCTCCAGATTTACAGCGATTTTTACGCAATTCAGTCGAGTTTCGACAAAAAGCGTATATCTTTCTTGAAAAAGATTGTGAAGATTTTCAAACAGATCTAACAAATCTGATTGAAGTATGCGAATACAAAACAATTCTTAAAAGGGAACGAAAAATTGATGAGAATTTGGCATATATATAATTTCAACATTGTTGAATTTAAGAAAATAATATATTTTGTATTAAGTTATGGTGAATGCAATCGTCGTAAATTGCTTGTATAGAAGTTAACATCAGCAGTAAAACTTTGCCGAACTTTGCGACTAGTGAGCAAACCTTTAATAATTGAATCGTGTACTTTTATAACGTTATTCTCTGCAACCGGAACCTAAATATTTCATGAAGTCTGTGAGAGAATCAAACTCAGTACGACTTGTAGGGGGAGTATCTTTTGTAATCCTTGGCAAACCATTGCCCATCTTTGTGCGAAACTCCTCCATCTATTTAATTTAAGGAAATTTAGTTACACCAGTTCAAAAATTCTCTTTAAATAACTCACGTCTTTTGCTCCCGATAACTTCCAAAAGCCATAACAAAAGACACTAGTACCAAGAACTGCGTATAAACTACCCCATCCAAAGGCGCGCATTGCCAACACCGAGCCTTCTTCGAGTAACACCGCTGTGTCGCGCCCACCTTTCGCTACCAATTTGCCTTGTGACTCTTTTGCTTTTCCAAGCGTTTTAGAAAACCCGAAGATTGCTGATACACCACCAACCAGCCCCAGGAACGCGGCCGCTATTACGACGTGACATGAGAAAAGTTAGAGGTCAAATTTTGTGTATGTTTTTTTTTACTATTTATCACCTTTTATTCTATATTTGGAGTCCTCTTCGGCCCTAGTCGACCCTACTGGCAGTGTTGTCGATTCAGACATGGCCAAAAATCTAAAATATCTTGCAACAACTCGATGCTTCACTATTTATTTACATTTTATGAGGGGTATGTTCAGTGGTGGTATTTTATCTCCATTATGAAACAACAGTGTTACCATTGCCAATTACTACTCAAAACACGTACTAGGGTCTTCATCAAAAGTGTTAAACTCTTGATAAACTTTATAAAGTGATAAATTTGTAATTTTAATAAATGAACTGTCACACTTTGTATGGAAACCTATTTAACCAAAGTTTATCACTTTATCAAACCATTTTGGTGGATAAACGCATAAATTTCAGGAAAATTCCATTTTGAAAAGTTGCCAGGTGGTAAATTTTGTTACGAACACAAAAAGAAAATTTGCACAATGGACGAGGTAAGAATGAAACGTAACTAGCCAGATAAGTTAAATATTAAACAATTTTTTACTAAGGTACATTCCAGAAAGAAAGCGGATAAACTGATAAATTTAAGCAATTTATCCCTTTATCACTTTATATGAAGACCCCTACTATTATTTAAATCAACCCAACACAACTATATATGGGCTTTAAAGGTGTTCTTACAAGATATGTATTTGCATGAACACATGCGACTTTTTACATATGGAAATGCCAACATATCGTGAAAAGGCAAATTAAATTTGTTTCTGTACAAAGCAGATGCACGTACTTACGTAATAGAAATGTTTCTATCTTCATCTGACACACAGATTGAATCATCTGAGTTTAGTTTATTTCCTTTTCAAAGAATGTATTTTTAAATATTTAAATAACAGTCATCGACTAACTTTCGTTGCCTACGGTTGTGTCTTTGTGCGAG